CATCTTTTCACACGATCAGTATTTTGGCAAATTTGTTTCTATTTCCCAATGAATGATTTCAATATTGACTTCTCCTTCTCGTGTGTTGGGATCTAGCTGTAGTTGTTACTCCAATGGCTCCGGGTTTTTTAATCCTTTTTTTCCATTTTTTCTAAGGGTTTTTTGTTGAATTCAAATTGACTCGGGATAACTCAGAATGACTCGTCCATTTCAACCCGTCACGGTGACGTCTCGGTCGATTTCTCGCCGAGTCAAATATCTCGATATCGTTTCATCACGGTATCGTATCGGGAGGGCCCGAGACAGTGACGACTCAGCCGAGTCATCTCGGTCTCGCCAAGTCTTTGAACCATGCTTGGAAGAGTGAGACCGCAACAATCTAAGACGATTCAGCTAGAAGATTAACAGCAAACCTTTGATCTACAAATACAGGTAATATGGAAACCTATATATGATCATCTTTTTTCTGCTCAAAACGGTTAAAGGGCATAGCATGATCTAAAAAGGTTTGCAATTGTGATAGCGAAAGTCCTTGCGTGGCTTCATCAGATTAGAGTAGTTCTATCGCAGCATTTGTTCAACATGTATATTGCTCTGTCATATTTTTGAACCCCAAGATGTCCAACTTTTGAAAGTGCAAAAGTTTCCAGAAACAATTTTGCTTCTTCAAGCAGGAGAATTGCGGTAAAAAATGAAACATGGGAGCGTGGTTCCTTTAAGAAGGATGTCTATGACCGGTATATAATTCTCCTTAAGAAAAATATGGGCACGCGTTAATTCTCTGGAACCGGATTCAATTGTAAAGGTTTTGAACCACTCAGCCCACCACTTACATAGGCCTCCAAATGCCCTTTATATAAGGGATGGATCAGAGATTGACAATATAGTGCATGTGACTCAAGGTGAAGGGTCTTATCAACTCAACTATGTTTCGTTGTCGACAATGCCACGCTATCCCTCGGCTTTTAAGAAGAAAATATTATAAAACTAATGAAATAACAAGATGTGGGGTAAAATAAAATAAGGAGAAGCCGATAAATGTAGAGAACTATATTTCTTCTATTCACACCAAAACAATCAAGAATGCATCTCTATTTATAGATACACTGAGGGGTTATAAATTAATTGTATAGGGAGATCAAACCGTCATCCATATTCTTTTATCTTTGGATGGATTCAATAGAAATAAATAAGCTTAATAAACATAGGAGAGTTTAATGGACATTCACTCCCATTTAATTGTTTCATAACACTCCCCCTTGGATGTCCATTACACAAAAAATATGCCTCGTTAAAACCTTACTAGGGAAAAATCCAGTGGGACAAAAATCCCTAGTGAAGGAAAAAGAGTACACTATTCTTGTGTAATAATTTCTCCCCCTGATGTAAACATTATTTGAGTTCTTTTAGCCGATGCATTCCAATATTCTTTACCAGTTTCTCAAATGTAGCAGTCAGCAATGCCTTGGTAAACAAATCTGCCAAATTATTATCTGATCGAATTTGTAACACATCAATCTCACCATTCTTCTGTAAATCATGAGTAAAGAAAAATTTTGGTGAAATGTGTTTCGTCCTATCTCCTTTAATATATCCTCCTTTTAATTGAACTATACAAGTTGCATTATTTTCATATAAAATTGTTGGAGGATTTTCCTTCTTGGAGGATAACCCACAACTCTTCCAGATGTAGTGGGTAATTGATCTTAACCAAACGCATTCTCGACTGGCCTCATGAATTGCTATTATTTCAACATGATTTGATGCAATGGCAGTTAAGGATTGTTTTGTAGAACGCCAAAAAATGACTGTATCGCCACAAGTAAAGAGATAGCCAGTCTAAGATCGTGCTTTATGTGGGTCAGATAAATACCCAGCATCAGCATAACCAAACAATTCAGGTTTGGATTTATTTGAATAAAACAAACCAAGATCAATTGTTTCTTGGAGATAGCGAAAAATATGTTTAATACCATTCCAATGTCGTCTTGTAGGCGAGGAACTAAATCTTGCTAATAAATTCACCGCAAATGATATATCTGGCCTTGTACAATTAGCAAGATACATTAGCGCACCAATTGCACTGACATATGGTACTTCAGGACCAAGTATCTCTTCATCTTCCTCTCGTGGTTTAAAAGGATCCTTATTAGGATCTAATGATCTGACAACCATTGGAGTGCTTAATGTATGTACCTTATCCATATAAAATCGCTTTAATACCTTTTGGGTATAAGCAGTTTGATGGACAAAAATTTCACCTTCTAAATGCTCAATTTGCAAACCAAGGCAGAATTTTGTCTTTCCAAAATCTTTGATCTCAAATTCTTTCTTCAAATAGTCGATAGCCTTTTGGATCTCTTCAGAAGTTCCAATCAAATTTCGGTCATCAACATATATAGCAATTATCACAAAATTTGACATATTTCTCTTGATAAAAGCACATGGACATATTGGATCATTGATATAACCTTCTTTAGTTAAACATTCATTGAGGCGGTTATACCACATACGCCCAGATTGTTTGAACCCATACAAAGACCTTTGTAATTTAATAGAATACACATCTCTAGGATTTGATTTACATGTTTCAGGCATGTTGAATCCTTCAGGGATTCTCATGTAAATATTATTTTCAAGATTTCCATACAAATAAGCAGTGACAACGTCCATCAGATGCATTTCTAGTTTTTCATGCACTGCAAAACTCACAAGATATCTAAATGTGATTGCATCCACTACAGGTGAATACGTTTCATTATAATCAAATCCAGATCTTTGTGAAAATCCTTGAGTTACAAATCTTGCTTTATACCTCACAATTTCATATTTCTCATTTCTTTTTCTCACAAATACCCATTTATATCCAACTGGCTTTACACCTTCAGGTGTTTGGACTACAGGTCCAAAAACTTTTCTTTTAGCCAGTGAATCCAATTCAGATTGGATCGCATCTTTCCATTTTGACCAATTATTTCTACGTCGACATTCATCAACCGATGTAGGTTCATGATCCTCGTCCTCTACCATAATATCAAGTGCTACATTATATGCAAAAGTACCATCAATAATTATTTCTCTTCGGTTCCAACTTTTTCTTGTAGTGACAAAGTTTATTGAATTTTCTATAATTTCATTCTTTTCAAGAGTTGGCTCTTCGGGAGCAACCTCTTCAGGAGGTTGAATTTTGTCACTAATTATGAATTCATTTGTTCCTCTTTTCTTTCTAGGATTTTTATCTTTGGAACCAAGAGGTCTCCCACGCTTCAGGCGTGCTTTAGATTCATTAGCAATTGTGATTTGTCTTTCAGGGACATTTATTTTAATTGGAACATTTTCAGCAGGAATATGTGATTTGGTGACTCTTCTGGAGTCACTGAATGCATCCGGCAATTGATTTGCAATATTTTGCAAATGTATGATCCTTTGAACTTCTAGTTCACATTCTTTTGTACGAGGATCCAGAAAATCTAATGAAATTTTCCAAATGATTTCCTTTATAGGAATTTTCTTTTTTAGTTGATCTTTTCCTCCCCCTAATGTCGGAAAATGTGATTCATCAAAATGACAATCTGTAAATCTTACAGTAAATAAATCACCTGTCAACGGTTCTATATACTTAATAATTGAAAGTGATTCATATCTGACATATATCCTCAATCTTCTTTGGGAGCCCAATTTACGACGTTGGGGCGGTGCAATTGGAACATAAACTGCACAACCAAATATTCGTAAATGTGAAATATTTGGCTCATAACCAAAAGTCAATTGTAGGGGAGAATAAGTATGATAACTTGTCGGCCTAATCCTCATAAGTGTTGCTGCATGTAATATAGCATGTCCCCAAGCAGATGAAGGAAGCTTAGACCTCATCAACAATGGTCTAGCAATTAATTGAAACCTTTTAATAAATGACTCGGCTAGATCATTTTGTGTGTGAACATAGGCTACAGGATGTTCAACAGTTATTCCAATGAACATGCAATACTCGTCAAAAGCATGTGACGAATATTCACCAGCATTATCTAGACGAATTTTCTTTATTGGATAATCTGAAAATTGTGCTCGCAACTTAATTATTTGAGCGAGCAATCTCGGAAACGCCAGGTTGCGAGTAGATAATAAACATACATATGACCATCTCGTTGATGCATCAATTAGCACCATAAAATGTCGAAATGGTCCACATGGTGGATCTACAGGTCCACATATATCATCATGAATTCGTTCTAGAAATGTAGGGGATTCAGTCCCAGCTTTAACTTGTGATGTTCTAATAATTAATTTTCCTTGGGAGCAAGCAACACAGGAGAATTCATTTACTTTTAATATCTTTTGATTTTTCAATGAGTGGCCATGCGAATTTTCGATTATTTGTCTCATCATTATAGATCCAGGATGTCCGAGACGATCATGCCAAATTATAAAATCATTGGGATGAATAGACTTCTGGTCTACTAAATGATGAATTTCAACTGCACAAATTTGTGCATAATATAAATCAGAAGAAAGTGAAGGTAATTTTTCTAATACATATTTCTCCCTAGAAATGGTATTTGTAATTAATAAAACTTCACCATTTGTCTCATTTATTGTCTTGATGTGATATCCATTTTGGCGGATATCTCTAAAACTCAATAAATTTCTTCGAGACTTGGGAGAGAGTAGTGCATTATTTATGACAATTTTAGTTCCTTCAAGGAGAAATAGAATGGCTCTTCCGGAATCTTCAATCAATTTTGCATTACCACTGATGGTATTAACATTTGTCTCTCCCATTTTCAAATAAGAAAAATATTTTTTAATTTTCAATATAGTGTGCGTGGTAGCACTATCAATGTGACAAATGTCATCATCATTATTATTTAATCCCAAATATTTGATATCCATTTCTTCTTCAGGAAGAAAATTTCAAACAAAAATAAAGATTAATAAAGATGCAAAAATAAATATTAAATAGAAAGAAAATTACATGAAAGATATAAAGTATCATAAAATATCTAAACAATCATAAGATATTTGTTGACATTTTCAGGATGTTCAAAGAAATCAGCTACATTGAGGTGTGTCATATCAGCATCAGCATCATCACCATCATCATAATCATTCTTTTGGTCGATAAAATTTGTCTCGACAATTTTGTCTTTCTTTTTCAAAGATGCTTGATAAAGGTCAACAAGGTAGTCAGCCGTACAACAGGTACGGGACCAATGACCTTCCATGCTACACCGATAGCATTTTTCTTCATAATTTTTCTTTTCTCCATTTTTCTGATCGTAGTTATTATTTCTCTTTTGAGAAATATTTTGTTGTTTGCCACGATTGTAATTTTCACGGGGCACAAATCTACTACGATCACGTCCACGGCCACGACCACGTCCACAGTCTCCTCCACGGCTACCTCTACGGCCACGTCCACGACCTCGACCAAAATTTTGAAATTGAGTCGCATTCGCTTCAGGGAATGGACTTGCACCAGTTGGTCGGGACTCATGATTTTTCAACAATAATTCATTATTTTGTTCAGCCAAGAGAAGACATGCGATAAGTTCAGAATATTTTTTAAATCCTTTTTCTCGATATTGCTGCTGCAGGAGCATGTTAGAGACATGAAAAATAGAAAATGTCTTCTCTAACATATCTTCATCAGTGACTTTTTCACCACTTAATGATAATTGAGAAGTAATTCTGAACATGGTTGAATTATATTCGTTGACAGATTTAAAATCTTGTAGCCATAAGTGAAGCCAATCATATCAGGCTTTTGGAAGAACGACCAACTTCAGGTGGTCGAATCTTTCTTTCAAATCTCTCCAAAGGACAAGAGGATCTTTAACAGTAAGATACTCTATTTTTAATCCTTCATCTAAATGATGATGAAGGAAAATCAAAGCTTTGGCACGGTCTTGGTTTGAAGATTCATTTTTTTCAATAATAGTATTATCAAGACCCATTGCCTCAAGATGAATTTCAACATCTGATACTTATGATAAATAATTTTTTTCAGAAATATTAAGAGGTACGAACTCTTGTTTTGGAAGATTAGTCATAAGAAATTAAAATATATTTATAAGTTAGAAATTTACCTCAATATGTAGTCAAAAGTTGTTCGAGAAAATACCCAATTGTTGATTCGAAATTGGTAGAATCTCGACAGAGTCTTGTGATTCACAATTGCTCAAAAATAGAGTCTCGTGCTGATAACGTATTATAAAACTAATGAAATAACAAGATGTGGGGTAAAATAAAATAAGGAGAAGCCGATAAAAGTAGAGAACTATATTTCTTCTATTCACACCATAACAATCAAGAATGCATCTCTATTTATAGATACACTGAGGGGTTATAAATTAATTGTATAGGGAGATCAAACCGTCATCCATATTCTTTTATCTTTGGATGGATTCAATAGAAATAAATAAGCTTAATAAACATAGGAAAGTTTAATAGACATTCACTCTCATTTAATTGTTTCATAACAGACAATTTTTTTTGTCCACTATTTCCCTTATTTTTAATTTCAGGCAAAATAATACTCCCTCCGCCCTATATATTTAGTCATATTTGAGGATATGTGTTTTTTATACATAATACACTCCATAAAAAGGGTTTTCTTTTTGTTCCACTTTTACCCTTAATTATGTGCTGGTCAAAATAAAAAGTAGAAAGCATTCCCATCATATTTGTCTTTATGCATTATTAATGAAGGGTACAAAGGAAATTTCAAAGTATAAAATAGTTATAAATGTCAAACATGACAAACATTTTGGGACAGCAAAAGAAAAAGTATGACACTTTAAATAAGACGGATGAATAAAGAGTTGACATTTGGGTAAAGCCAAATGAAATCGACACAGCTAGATTTGGGGATTCATTTCACATTTTTTAAATGATGAAATGAACCACCCGAAACTGAGGTAACTTTATTCGGCTTGACTCATGGTGTCGATTGTACCCTACGTCTAAGGTCTTTAGTTTTGCTGAGGCCCATATTATTAAATTCCCCTTCCATGCTTTAAGTTTACATAGATTATCACTTTGCATCTTTTAATTTTGTTCTATTAATTTTGACCCTAAAATCTGTCAAAGTGTCTCAGATCAGTCCAAACAACTCATATTACAAATAAAAGTGCACTAAAAGATATGCATTTGCTCATTTTATTTACAATTCTTAAGAAATAAATCCCCAACATAACTGAGAAGCCGATATAATGGTGCATATCAACATATTAATCATAGGGTGACAATTCTCGACATGACTCAAAAATATGACTCGAATCTAATACAAAATTAGTAGATATGGTTTTACTCTTCATGGGTTCGGATCAAAATCAAGTTAGACCCAAATATCCACCTGGCAAACAGGTCCAAATCAGATCAAACACAGGTTGACCTGTCTGATCCGTTTAACGTGTAAGTTTATAATTTAATAAATAAATTGGAGGCATAAAGTAAATAAAAGAGAAAACTAATCAAGGCTAAAAATTAATAGTACGAGAACAGAATCATGAATATTATGCGAAAACAAGATATTTTATTTGTGAAAGCGTCATAGTTTTGTTTTTGTTCTTGATTTTTTTGGGGCACAAAAAGGAAAATCAAAAAATTACTACAAGCACCACATACTAAATCTAGGATTGGGTTGCAATTTTCTATATTCTCAAGAAAACTCCATTGTAGAAAAATCCTCCATACTAATAGGGTGAGAAGGGTGTCTACAACTTGGTGTTCTGTTTCTTGAGTTAATTGCTGGAAACAAAATTAGTAAAATAATTGATTCCTCGGGGAGCTTTAAAGGTGATATGATTGAATGGATATTTAGGAGGTGTTTGGTAAATGATTTACAGCTTTAGATATGGGTTTCAAATTCAATTATACCCATAGATAATGTTTGTTTATGCCCAAGTGTTTGGAATTCCGCACCGCCGCATGATTCAGATGAGATTAAACAAGCATTTGAGAATGAGATCCTTGAGTTTGACAAAGTTGCAGTTGAATGCATTCATGTTGATTCAGAAAACGGGCGTCTATGCAAAAATTGTACAAATGTTTAGAAAAATTATAGGGAGCTCGCAAATGATTCAGGGGTACAGGCATTTAAATTGGCTCAGCTAGCTGGACGATTTTCGTGTTGATGTTCAAATTACTATTGTGAAATCCACCAAGTAAACCCCAAGATTGGATGTTTTCTTGAATCATGAGGGAATGTAGTGCGAATTTTCCTTATATTGATGATGAAGCCAACACGGCGGACCAACTCGACAAATTCTGCTGCAAGTTCTCGCTAGTTCAAGACCAAGCAATGCAGGTAGCATATTGCAGCACCTTTTATCACCCTATTAGAAACATCATTCATGAACCTTGTCTGTAGGAGATGGTAACATTTTAGTGAAGGAGGTGCTTTCTAACACTAGTTCTAGCACTTGGGATTTCTCTATTTTATCATTTGTACTCCCTGACTTTATCAAGCGAAGGATTCAAGCCATTCCTAAACAGAGTTATAGTCAAGGTAATTTTCACCTGTTGGTAAGATTGGTTATGCTACAGCATACAAATTTGCTTTGACTTGTAGCAATATTCTTAATTCTACTAGGAGTCCTCTTGCATGGATTTGGAAAGTTAAAGCCTCATCTAGAACCTCATCTAGAACCAAGCATTTTCTTTGGTTGTGTTCTCAAAACAGACTTGCCTCGAGAGAACTCCTTGTCATTAGAAATACCATTCAAGACAGCTCCTGCGTTTTTTGCGGGCAAGGATTCTAAACATATAATTAGGAGGTGTCCTAGAGCTCTTTGTGTTTGTAAACATGAATAATGTTTGTAAGTGAATGGACCATGGGCTTCAGCAGGAACATTGTTGGTAAAGGCACAATAAATATGGCAGAGGCATGGACGACAAGAGATGGATTGAAGATTACTATTCAAAACCAATTTACTCATCTTCTTATCAAACATGATTCGAGGATTATAATTTATTTGCTTTCTTCTAATCATCTGACCATCATGTACTTTCTCATATCATTTGTGATTGGAGGAGAGTTTTACTCCACCAAATTCAGTTGGTCACATTTAAGCATTAAATTTCTTAAAATGATTGTGTTTGACTCATTTGTAGTTTAATTTATGTAGCTCTCTCTTTCATTTTATTAAAAAAAAAAAATTGTTCACAAGCGGTGAGCCCCCTACTTACATATGCCTCCAAGTACCCTTTGCGGTGATGGTAGCAAATAAAATATACTAAATGTAAAGTGAAAGTTCATTAGACTATAATTAGGAGTAAGAAATTTTTAAAACATAAAAACAAAATATAAAGAAAAATGTAAAAATTAGACTCTATACTATTATATTTACTATGAATGTGAGGCATTCATAACCATAATTGAAACTTCTTCAATTTATGTGATAGTTGAATTTTTTTTTCCCTTTGATTTCCCATGTAAAGTGTACAATATTACCTTAATTGCTATTTTAAAGTTATAGGAACCAAAGAAACTAAGAGTTCATTCATTATAAGAAATTTGGTTTAAAAAGTTGGGATTGTGATTTTTCATAGAAAAATTTTTACGTTTTTCATGAACACATTTTCTAATCACCTTTTTACCTCACATATATCAAATCGTTACAATACATTTTTCTACAAAAACTCTTAAAAATAGCAATCCAAACGGCACATAATGTTTTTATAATTATTAGTCAAAAGTAATACTAATCGTAGGGTAAGTAGGTACCAATCATATACTTTTTGAGAAAGTTAATTGTTAGTCTGGTATAGGACACTTTATCAAAAGAAATTAAACAAAATAACAAATAAAATTACTGATAATTATATTTAAGAGAGCCAAAATAATAATATAATTTTAGTTGACAACTAGAATTATAGTAAAGATTTTAAAATTCTGAAAACTTTTGCAGGCGCGGCTGTCCCTGCCATCTCGCTGTGTCAGACCCAAAGTCCCTTTCTGTGTAATGGATGGATTGAAGGAAATTTTTTCGTTATTTTCATTATTTTTTTATTTAGTTTTTGTATCAGGCAAATATAATAGAGAGGAGGCCATCATTCTTGGTTACATAAATTCTGGAGCGGGATTTAGTGCAATTCATCCGGCTTTAACTTTTTTTTTCTTTTTTTTTATTCAGTTTTTGGGACATTGAAATGAGGGACTTTTTTTCTTTTTTTTTTTTAAACATTGAAATGAGGGACATTTAAATTAATGATCTGTCAGTTGAGATGCTTTTAAGTGTATTTTTTTTTCTTTCTAACTCCATTAATAGACTTTTGTTGATTACTTAAACCCTAATCCCAAATTGAACTCCAAAAGCCAATAACTCTTGAAACCAATCCAGGAACGTAAATACCCAACCCAACCCCCCCACCAGACCCGATGTGGGATAACAAACCTAAAGGGAACTTTTTTGCTTTTCTGAGGTGCAGCTTTTTGTGTTGGTGGTTCTCGTGACACAAAATAATTTTATAATTGCCTACTGACTTCTTCGCTGGCAATGTCTAACGTGGATACGGGGCAGGAGCGGTCCTCAGACGACCGTTCCTGAACGGTCTCCTCACAATAAAAAACGTGAGGAGACAAATGAGCCAAGTCAGCAAGGTTGAAGCAGGGCACAAAAACGACGCCGTTCCAAATAAAAAAATCTTGACTTCCAAACGGGAGCAGACGGAGCAAACGGAAGAGAATTGGTTTTTGAAATTCAAGTTGAAATTTTGAATTAGCCGCAGAAAACAAAACTGAGGGAAGCGTCTTCATGTGCTTGTGAAGGTAATCTACTCTGACCAACCACTCACTGAAGGTAGAAAGCTGAAGTTCGGGTGGGATTCAACCTACTGGGTGTTTCTAGGTGAAGTGGGTGTAGTCTACTCTGATGAAGGTAGCAATTGACAGAAAAGTGGGTGGAGAGGCAGGCGGCATGGAAGAAGCAAACAGAGATGAAGCCAAAGTCTGTCCGTAAAACTGAATAGCAGAAGCAGCTGTGGTCTCCAATTGGGTATAAGAGTGTTGTATGTATTCTGAATTCGTGCAAGAGCGGCGGTAAGGTAGAAGCAAATAGAGGAAATTCAGCATCTCACGAAACCAGATTTTGTCCTTCAACTTAATAGCAGAAGCAGCTACGTCTCCGACTTCGGTGAAACGTGAAGCGTATTAGCAGACCAAGGTAACATGACTGAACCATGTCAGTAATTGTGGCCAATAATTTGTCACCCAAATGCACATCTGTTAAAGGAAGGATGAAATTAGAGTCACTGAAGACATAATATGAAGATGATAGAAGAATAGTGAAGTTGTACTGTATTTTTATGTGTGTACCGTATCTGTGTGTGTGTGAGCATTCAGCTTTTCAGTGATGGACTATAATGGGATAGTAGTTTTTGGAAGACCTAGGGTTATGTATTCAAATAAACCGTCGACTGGAATTAGGGAAAGATGAGAGAAACAAAGTCACATTTAACATTAATGAATATACATCTTGTTGTAAATTAGTTACATGTTATAACCACCGTATTACAATTGATATGAATCATTGTGCATGCAGTAATTGGTCCATGCTGATGGAGAAATATTAGTTTGCCCCTCTCCTGACGATACAGTGTGTATAAAATGGAGGCGTAGAGTTGAATGAGGTGAAGCAGAGGAAAAGACACATATGTGAATAATAAATTGGTGAACCTTGTGTTGTAAGTCAATTACATGATGTAAGAAATATATTACAATGAGTAGAAAGTAGGGTTATGTATTCAAGTAAACCATCAATTGGAATTAGGGAAAGATGAGATAAACAAAGTCACATTTAACAAGTAAATGAATATACATCTTGTTGTAAATTAGTTACATGTTATAGCCACCGTATTACAATTGATATGAATTATTGTGCATCTAGTAATTGGTCCATGCTCATGGAGCAATATTAGTTTGCCCCTCTCCTGACCATACAGTGTGTATAAAATGGAGGCGTAGAGTTGAATGAGGTAAAGTAGAGGAAAAGACACATATGTGAATAATAAATGGGTGAATCTTGTGTTGTAAGTCAATTACATGATGTAAGAAATATATTACAATGAGTAGAAAGTAGGGTTATGTAGTCAAGTAAACCATCGACTGGAATTAGGGAAAGATGAGAGAAACAAAGTCACATTTAACAAGTGAATGAATATACATCTTGTTGTAAATTAGTTACATGTTATAGCCACCGTATTACAATTGATATGAATTATTGTGCATCTAGTAATTGGTCCATGCTCATGGAGCAATATTAGTTTGCCCCTCTCCTGACCATACAGTGTGTATAAAATGGAGGCGTAGAGTTGAATGAGATGAAGCAGAGGAAAAGACACATATGTGAATAATAAATGGGTGAATCTTGTGTTGTAAGTCAATTACATGATGTAATAAATATATTACAATGAGTAGAAAGTACTTGTTTGGCCCTCAAAATGTAGAAAAAGTAGAAAATGTGGAGTTGGTTTATGCGGTTGTCATTAACGAATGACATAAGATCCAGTGAGCTAAAGAACCTAGAATCAAAATATAATCACCAGCGTGGATGTACATACAGTTAAAATAGACTTACATCGTTTGACCAATACATTACAGTCCGTATAAGTTAGTGTACATGGAGTTATATTTGTACATAAATAATGCCGTTGTCTTAGAGTAAAAGTAAGGTGATGTGAATCATTAATCATATTGATAAGCGTAATAATAGGATTTGGTATACGAGTAATGTGTGATTCATAACACATTATAAATGGTAATATACATTTATATTGTCGTTTATGTACATACTATTCATGAAATGTTGCAAATTTGGGTGTTTGATGCATAATTGACAGGAGCAGAAGTAATGGATTGCAGCAAATTGACAGAAAATGGGACCCCTGAGTTAGGAATGGAGTTCAATAGTGAAGAGGATGCGTACAAGTTTTACAACAAGTATGCCTTTAAAATGGGTTTCAGTTTACGTAAAGACTATCTGAATAAAGACAAAGACGACGTGACCACGTCTAGGAGATATAGTTGCTGCAAGGAAGGTGTGAAACGCAGGTACGAATGTGATGTGATGCCAAAGACGACACGAGCGCCGACGAAAACAGGGTGTGGAGCTAAGATAGTTATCGTGTTGTTTAGAGGGACAATGAAGTACCGTGTGCATGACCTTGTCTTAGAGCATAATCATGAGTTGCACATTGCTCAATGTGCTCACATGATGCCATCACAAAGAAAAGTGAGTGTGGCTCAAGGATTCCAAGCTGAAATAAGCGAGGATGCTGGGCTTTCATTGAAACAGAGCCATAAGCTTATGGGAATGGAAGCAGGTGGGATGGGTAATGTAGGATATACTCGGGATGATCTTAAACGATATCTTCGAACGAGACGGGAAAGGAGCTTGAAATATGGAGAAGCAGGTAGCATGCTGAATTATTTTCAAGAGCAAACACTGGAGAATCCATTCTTTTTTCATGCCGTACAGCTGGACTGTGAAGAACAAATAACGAATATCTTTTGGGCTGATGCAGGAATGTTAATTGACTACAACTTTTTTGGAGACGTAGTTACATTCGACACAACCTACAAAACAAATAAAGAATACCGGCCACTTGGAGTATTTGTGGGTTTTAACCAGCATAGGCAAATTGTGATATTCGGTGCTGCCCTTATGTATGATGAGACGATAGATTCTTTCAAATGGGTGTTTGGTACATTTCTAGAAGCAATGTGTGGAAAACATCCAAGTACCATACTAACCCATCAAGATCATGCCATGGCAGCCGCTCTTTCAATTGTCATGCCTGAAACATTTCAGGGTCTATGTACGTTTCACATAAGGCGTAATTTTATGAAATATCTTGGCAATCATTACAAGGAAAATAATGATCTTCCATACATGTTTGGTGCCTGCATGTATGAGTTTGAAGAAGTGAAACAATTCAATAGGGTGTGGGAGGCGATGGTGAAGAAACACAATCTTGAAAATAATGAATGGCTCTCCGGGTTGTATAGAATTCGTGATAAATGGGTAAGGTGCATAATGAAAGAAAAATGGACTGCGGGAATGCGAAGCACCCAATTTAGCGAAAGCCTAAATGCAGCAATTAAAAATCATTTGAAACTGGATCATGATCTTGTGCAGTTCTTTAGACATTTCAATCGGGTGGTTGATGAAAAGAGATATAATGAACTGATCGCAGAATATGAAATGAGGCAAAAGCTCCCCATGGTAGGGTTAAGGCAAACACCTATACTTGTACATGCATCAGAGACGTATTCACCAACCGTATTTGTTGCATTCCAAAATGAATATGGCGAGTCAACAACTATGGTTATATTGAGACAACAAGATGCAGCGATGTTTGTGGAGTTTGCGGTCATGAGGTATGATGGAGGACCTAAAAAAACAGTAGTATTCAATCGAAATGATCTAAGTGTACGTTGCAGTTACAAAAAATACAAAAATGAAGGCATTTTATGTGGGCACGCGTTGAAGGTGTTTGATACCGTGGGCATAAAAATAATTCCTCCTGAATACATTAAGAGGCGATGGACAAAAAGAGCTCGGGCTGGAGACTGTTTTGATCGGCGAGGACAGGAAGTTGTGGCTGATCCTAAAGTCATGATTTCAACTCGTTATCGAGAGCTCGCTCCAGCCATGATTAAGGTCGCAACTCGAGCAGCAATGTCGGAGGACACCAGCAAAGTAGCAATCACTGTCATATCCGATTTGTCAAAGAGAGTTGAGCTCCTCCTCTCAGAAAGCGAAGAGCAACCTTTGCAAAATCAAAAAAATCTGAATATGGAGGAACGAGATAAAATTGAAATTGTAAATGAAATGGGGGAGGCAGTAGTCGCAAGAGGCATTAAAAAACGAGGCGGTGGGAAGAAAAGTAGAGTGATGCGAAGTTGGGTCGATAAATTTGACAGAGTAAAAAGAAAATCTAGATTATCAAGGACTACATAGACTACGGTATGGATCAAATTTTGGTACTTGGGGAACATTTATGCTAAAACTAAGTTATTGTTATACTATTAACTAAAGTTTAGGTAACATGCATTATGAAATAATATTATTGCCGTGTCAATATTGTAGGTCTCAGAATCGGAGCCGACATCGGTTTCATTTGAGGAATACATGTTTATGGGATGCCGTTCATCTACTGACTCTGTTTCGGTTAGTATAAAATGGACATGACTCTTGCTTTTATTTGGATATTTCTAACAGCATAAATAGTTACATTGATGTTACATTGTGTGATAATGTTGTTACGGCCGTCATCCCTCATGATATACGTATTTTGTTTGTCTTATACAATGATTTGGCCCATACGAAACTTGTAGACGCATTCAATGAGTCAGACAGTGAATGGCCCTCCTAATGCTGTTGCTCCCGATATCGATGAAAATCAAACGGTATGCATACATTTAGTAGTTAAAATAAAACATTCTTGTTCATGTAGTAGAGCTACCTTTTTTTCTTTAATTGTAATGGTGGGCACCCGAAGGCTGTCAAATCATGCAAATTATGTAGTTAACGTATGCTCGCTTTAATAATGTATTATTTTTTATTATTCTAAGGTCCACCGTTTGGCTAATCAGGGGCCTCCTGCAAGTGTCCCTACAGAATGGATGCATCCCAGATTTTCTATTTTTTCCAAGCATAACTCCTTCAGAGATGTTTTAATGGTCTGATATATCATTTTTGTTATAATGTCTAGTCCAATTTAACTTTATAAGTGAGCAATATGGGCACTGGTAATGATTTGTTGACAGTCGATTACTTATACTATATAATGTAGGAGGAGCGTTGGGCAATTTCAACACACTGTGATGTTGATGCATATCATGTATTTACACCATCATCTTAGGTGACAAACTTTTATCGTTACAGCACATATTTATGTAATGTTATTAATTGGAGACTTGGACATCGTATATCATTAATCGTATATTTTATTAATAATATTTGCTGATTTGCCATCGTTACGCATTTCAGGAAAAAAATAACACACAGGGATTGCAACTACGCGTTGATGTCGCCTCCCCCGAGAATGAGGTTGATGAATGATGTGTAACTATACATTTTGAACGAGACATTAAGTGGTTGTCCCAACCTGAGAATGCTGCATATGTACGTTACAAGCAGTTAATAAGCTGTTACAACTTATTGACGAGGTTATACAGGCACCATTGATATTTCACTATTTTCAAATTTAGACAAGTGAATTACAATTGTAATCGCATCTAGTGTTAATAGACATCAATAGTTTGTATTGGGTTATATAAAATTGTTAGAAAATTATAAAGTTGGTAGAAAATTGAAGTAACAATTTTACAATAGAATTGAACGTATTTTTTGTGATCGGATATTTTTCACTAAATCGACCATAACAGTTGAATGGTTGTCGTGATATGTATACCATTCTACTACATTCAATTGCATACCTTAATAATATATTTATTGGCATAGATCGCACCGCCAAAGGTACTATGTATAAGATAACACAATCTAAAGTATAAATTGTCTTGATTTTGTTATGATGATAAATTCGAATTATTATTGGACTATTTTTATAAAAACATTATCATTTAGGCCATTTGTTTTGCATCGCTTGACGAATTTAGTGCACCATTGACATGATATATCACAGGCACATCTATTGGTATTACAAGTTTTTAGATTAATTAAATTATGGTCAAGTCAGGTCACGACCACATGTTGGTAATAGGTGCGCATAAGAAAATGATTCCTTGGAGAGCTAATTTGTAACGTTAAAATGAAGTTTTACAATGCAACAAAAAGGAAGAACGAACAGTACACAATGGGTTACAACCAGTTAGGGATATGTTACTGTTACGTTACCACTAGTTAAGATTGTTTAACAGGCATGATTAATATCGAAATATGGTAAGCAATTTGTTTGAGTAGAGATTATAATGAGTATAATTTTATCGCTACCCTGACAAACATTGGACTACATCCCTTGTTATGAGTTGTATCCCATACAACACTTGGGAACGCCGTCATGCATTAGACAATGGGGTATGTACATTTGAAAGTCATCGTCGCTTGATTCAGTGAAATCAGATAGGTCCGGATCGGATATAAGCATAGGATCTGCTAAAATGTGCTGAACCTCAAATTGTTTTCCAATATCATGTCTTTTTGCGGCTTGGATCTCATGAAACCTGTGAAGCCTACGCTCTATCTGCATAACTTCTCGCTGTAGTCTATGTAATACGCTTGCATCATTGGCTTGTGGTCCTATAACAAGATTCGCCGACCTTGTTGTCGAGACGCGGAGACCATGCCAGCGACAAAGTACCTCTAATTTCATTCTTCGCTCACGAACAGGCTCCTATATGGATTCATGATCCATAACGGAATAGCCAGACGATAGATGATTATTGACGGTATTTTTAAAAATGTGACCAGCTAGTCCTAGATAGTTGTTGGTGTTAAGCGGAGCGTTCTTGAACTCGCGTTTGGTACCATATAAAATCCTCCCGTCTGGTGTTTCGTACTTGCTAATGGCATTTGTTGGACCCAACGATACTTTCCGTCGTTTTTGCCGAACATTTGATGTTGAGCTTGTATGAGATCCTTCGTTTGTGGATTGCATGGCTATGCTGATATCTACTGCTTTTTGGTTGGATGAAAGAAAGGATCTACTGATAAAGAAATAGGTGGGAGAAAAAAAGAGGTAGAAATTTTTAACGGAGCACCTGTTTCAGACCATGCATAGTAAATGGTTTCTTTTGGCAACTTGACCAACTGCTTGTTGTGTCATTTCATGCTGTTCTCCACAGGATAGTACTCCTGGGTGAGTAGATGAAGGCATGGCAACCACCTATTAACGAGAGAATAGACTCAACGTTTGGTCAAATGTATAGTGTGTGGATGAAATAATGGTTCAATTCGATTGGATCATGACCTGTACTCCAACAACAATTGGGTCGTGAATACCCAGTTATACGTCAGTCACCTTACTTTTCGAGTGTAACAAGAAGTTACAACTAGCATATGTACGTTACAAGAAATTAATAAGGTGTTACCGCTTATTGATATGCCTGTACAGGCACCTTGTCTTTTGCTTGTATGTTAAAAATTAGACAATTTGTTTATAATTGTATTAATGATAAGTATTACAGATAGTATTACAGGCATTTCAATAGGTAGTACTCCTTCAGTACAGAAATGAACTTACAATTGGCGGCTCGACTTGGTTCCACGTGACCACATAATAAGTAACAGTTTCGCAGAAGAACATGATACTTCGTTGGGACAAGTAATTTGAAAGTAGGGTAACTAATATTTAAAATGCAACAAATTTTGATTACGCCATGTACCATTTTGAGTTACAACTAGTTATAAATATGTTACAATTCATTACAACTAATGAATTTGCAATCGACAGTTTTTCGTCTTATCTAGTTAAAACTAGTGATATTACAACTAGAAATTTCCTGATATTACAACTAGTGATTGTAGTACTAGTTAATATCTGATGAACCTTTCCTCTTCTCTTGTTTGTGCAATTGCGCTTGGCACAAACAACAAGTCCTCCCCCCAACACTTTTAATTTTTTAGACACTTTAGTAAGTGTCTAATGAGAACATAAAGATGGTCGATTTGAACCCCAAAATAATTGATGTAGCGAGGCCTTCTCGAACATCTCATTAAATTAGCGAGATCTTCTCGAACATCATACAACCTACTGGCTGCTATTTGGCACCCAAGAACTTGATTTCTGTGTGAACCCTTTATTGATGACACTACAATTGAAGTTAGAGGCGGGTTGAAAAATACTAATAATAAATTTCAGGCACGGGTTCATTGCCACCCTTCAGTAGAATGATATGGGAAATGTGAAGTAATTTAAAATGAAAATTGTTTGTGCAGTAATGAAAGGTGGACGAAAAAATTTTTGTTGTTGAGGGATATACTACTGCACCCGCTCCCTTTTATAGTTCGTCGGATCCGAACAATGTGCTAAAATATCACTGGACAATACATTCCAGGCCAAACAATTTTGTCATTGCAGTGGAAGTTGTAGAGTTCGATGCATGCCATTGAACTGTGTCACATCTGTTCAGACAATAAAACAAATTATACAGCTTTTGTCATGAAATGACCTGTACACCAAAATCAAGGGTCACGTGGATAAAGAGTTACACATCAGTGGCATGTACGTTTCACTATGTACGGATTGCATTACAACCAGTTAGGTGTATATTACAATTCATTATAACTAATGAATTTGCAATCAGCAACTTTTCGTCTGCTCTATTTAAAACTGAATAATATTCCAACTAGATATTCCCCGATGTTACAACTAGTGATAATACAACTAGTTAATATTTGATGAAACTTTCCTCTTCTTTTGTTTGTGCTATTACCCTTGGCAGAAACAATAATTCCTCCCACTGACACATTAAATTTGTTAGACACTTTATTAAGTGTCTATTGAGAATAGTTACAATGATCGTTTCGAACCCCAAAACATTGGGTAGCGAGGCTTTCTCGAATATCTCATTAAAATAGCGAGATCGACATTTTTGCATATGAGGCCAACTAGTATATCACGGGAGAAGAGACTGTAGACTCACATGCAGTGCTTGAACCATGTCGGATAAGTTTCGTTACATACAAAGCGTCAGATTTGTAGTACCGACAGTGAATATACGTGTTATGTGCTGTTTCTAATCGTTTACCGGACAGCAATGTCGTCCCAAATGTGGAAGCATCATGATGGGGCACATGCTGCTAGTGAACTATTGCAAATCAACTCAGACAATAAAATAAATTTTACAGCTTTTATCATGTTCTGGTCCTGTATACCAACTTTGAGAGGGGTGGAAGACTACTAATAATAAATTTTATATTCGAGTTCATTGCCACCCTTCAGTAGTATGAAATGGAAAGTGTGAAGTGGAATATAATGAAAAGTGTAAACGATAATG